TATAAATAAGTGAATTAGTGGTGTTTTTAGTAGATTAGTGGTTATTGATTTTTTTTAACATCAGTTTATTTTTTTTTCCTATTTAATCGGACTGATTTCATGAGTGAAAATACTTAAGTTCAGTTTAATTATTTTATTACTCTATTTCTACAAATATACGCTAGTGAGTTAAGTATTCAGTCATAAATCAATTATCGTTTAACTCATAATACATTCACAATGTTAGCAAACTTTATATCATAAATAAAATTCGAACTTAGAGATTCAAATAAAAGCTGAACGCAAGTATTTTAACTGATAAACTATTTTATTATCATCCTCCACTCATTTATTCTTGATTCTACGCGCACAAAGATTACTAATTCCATGTATTACTTTTAGATCACCGATAACAAATTTTTTTCTTAATATATAAGATTCGTTTAATATTTAATATTTGATGAAGTACGACATAATAAATTTTTTAATAAAAAAAAAAGTAATATAATAATAAAAAATAAAGATGACTTCCAGAAAGAGAAAGAAGTAACATCAAAACGTTGATGTGGCGATGAATTAATGCGATCTAACTGTATAATTCATCCATTTTCAGACTGCAAAACAAACATTAAATATCTTGTCGTGGTTTAAGCGATGGGCATTTATAATTTCATATCTGGCATGCATAAGTCTGGTTTGACTTAATTCCAATAAATTATCCATTTCAATATAACAAATACAATTATTTTGGTTCTAATACCTACATTACTCAGATATTATTATGTATCACTTGAATGAAAGTTTGTCAACAAAATCCTTTACTTGCATTATTAACTGGGACGACTCAGATAATTCGGGAAACACGTAAAATGCATGGCTCATGTTTGGATACTCGATCAACGTTGCCCTTTTCCCGGATTTCTTCAACCAATCATAATATCTTCTCTGCCAATCCTGCAACGGGTCAAACCCGCCCACGAACACCACTGTATCAGGAAACTCCATACCCGATATATCAACCGCATTTGGCCCACTTACGTTCGCCGCTGGGTGGTCCCGATTAGATCCCTCCGGCAAGAACACCTTCCAACACCAATCGGTTCGGGCCATGGATACCAGGAACGACCCGATTAACCGCTTCTCGGACTCGGTCCTTTCTTCTCCTCCAAAGAAAGGTTGTATAGAAACCAACCCGACAAGTTTCAACGTCCGAAACGTTTCGGTCCGACAACTCTCAACCGCCACGTGGTGGGCCACGTTGGCACCCGCGCTGTCTCCGGCTAGAAAGCACCTTGAGAGATCAGCATTTGGTGGCAATACCATCTCCCAGTTGTCGTCCAGGAACTTGAGGACGTCAAATCCGTCGTCGTATTGAGAAGGGTAACGGTGCTCCGGCGCAAGGCGGTAGTTAACGGAGATGACATGAGCGGAGAGGGTGGAGGCGAATCGGCGGCAAACGACGTCGAATGGGAGGGATGCAGGAGTGCACATGGTGAAGCCACCGCCATGGAAGAAGACGAGGACGGGGAGGAGAGAAGTGGTAGCGACGGAGGGAGAAAAGAGACGAAACCAGAGATTGCGAGTGGGAGAAATTGTGATGTTAGAGGAGGAAACGGAGTAGATCAGACGGTTGGGAATGGTGGGGAGCTGAAGATCGAGGAGACGGAGAAGACGCGTGTTTAAAGTGCCGTCTGAATGGCAGGTGGCCTTCATTAGAGCGGAAATTATCTTGACGAGAAATCTCGTTTTCCATGGAAGTGACGATGGTGTAATGTTTGTAATTGATTTTGCATCAGTTGCCATGTTTGTGAGACGTAACTGATAATTAATGATGATGGAAAGAGCTGTGTGTGTATATATACGTATGCTACTCGGACAGGCAGAAATACGTAAGTACATATATGCGTGCGTGCGTGTGTATATATATATATATCTGCATGGGGGGTGGGGTCCACATAAAATGAGCTTTCAAAATAATATGGGCTGCGTTATCATATATGCAATTAGTTGACTGAGTCGTAGGTGGGCTGCCTGTGCTGAATCATAAGACTAAAAGTTGAATTTTTTTAAAAAAAATTAATGCAATATTATTATGAATTATAAATCTTATTTTTATAGTTTGAATAAATAATAATCTTATAATTTAATTAGATTACATTAATAATAAGAGCTGACATTTTTTCTTAAAGAAATAAAAGGTTAGTCAGATTTTGAGTTGTTGGTTAGCAAAGTTTAATTATTCTGCAATATATTTTTTATCCAAAAATATAATAATTTTCAACTTTGTCCGTCCATCATAATCTTAATAATATAGTAATAAATTAAATATATAATTATTTATACAATAATATACCAATAAAATATATTGTATTAAATTTAGATATGTTGTCATATAATGTAGTTATTTGTGGGAATTCATTAGATAATAACACAACCAATTTTGTAATCAATCAACCTCTTAACAACAACACATTGTGGAAAGAAGTAAAAGATTCTTTGGCTTGAGAGTTTTGTTTTGTGATTAGTATCCTTAAGATAATTATTGTGGTCTGACATAATATTGATGAAAGTTTTTGTTTATCTCTATGAATTACGAATAATATATATATATATATATATATATATTTGTCTTATTTTGGTATATTACTCACTTTATCATAAAACATATGATTTCTTATATGGGTACGAGATATGTTTCTTTTGACTTTTTTTATTTTTATTTTTTTTAATTTTTTATAACTACTTTGTAGAAGATCCTCCAACTATTATTATATGCATTCAAAAGCAAACTTACTAATTGTTTTTCTCTCTCTATTAGAATTGCCTATCGAGATGTTAATGATCTAAAGTAGCCTTTTTCTCTCTTAATTTGTTAACATTTAATTGTTTTTTTTTTTCTCCAGAATATTAAGCTTGGAGGGACCTTATATCCATCTGTCATAGGCTTTGGCAATCTAAATTTGGTGTATTCTTAATTTTTAGATATATTATTTTTAATTTGTTTGATTGTTGATCTACATTCTTTCATGAGTAGATCATTTAGTGGTAATATTTTATTTTTATTTAAAAAAAAAAAAGAGAAATATATGTTAATAATTAACAACATATTCCTTGAACTTTTCAATTAATGTATTGCTATAAGTGATCTTTAATTTTGTTCATAATTATTTTATATAAACTATATTAAATTTTAATATGATTTTCCATAAAACTATAAATTTTTTTTTTTTAAAAAAAAAAGTAAAAACTCTTCAACAACAAACACATATGCAAATCATTTATTCGGATTTTCAACAAATATATTTTTTTTTCTCGTACATTTTTATCTAATCTCGATAATATTTTTTTCTATTTCAGATCAAAACAATTAGGATTTCTTTGTTATCCTTTTAAGAGCAAGAAATAAATTGGTATTTTGAAGTTCCAAGTCAATATTATTTTATTAACATTATCTACATTTAATCAAATCATCAAGTAATAAGATCCCTTTATTAACATTATCCCAGTCCGTTTCAAAATGGTCTATTGATATTTTGTCTTCCTTCACATTTGATCCTTTAAACAATAAATAATTACTTATATTAATAAAAAAGTATATGATAAAATAAATTAAAAGAATAATTCTTTCAGTTTAATTTATATTTTAATTTTATGAAAAAATGTAAATTTTACATAAATAGAATAAAAATTTAAATGAAAATAATATTTTAATTTCAAATTAATTCATACATAATTTAAATTTCATGTTCTTGTAATTTTTTTTCTTTACGTGCTAGATAATAAATAGCAAATCACTAGAAATAATCCCGTGCTCTCAAGGAGTGATGCAGCACGTTTGAGTGCTGACATGGCCCAATATGATTGGTCGATAATGAACAGTTTATGGTGCTGCACGTAGAGAATCCTATTGTTCCCCTTTCGTTTCGTTTCGTCCCGTCACGTACTGGGGCTGCTCAGTCTTCTTCGCTTCTCTCAACGCTCTCTCGTTCTCTTCCTCCTTATAAATTACAGACATCAAGTTTTAGTCATTCTCTGGAGTTGGTGAAGCATAAACTCTGAGTAAACATGATGAACAAAGAAGAAACAGAGAAGATCGTGTCGCTACTGAAATCAGAGCAACGCCCAATTGAAGAGATCTTCGCCGAATTCAATTCCAGATTCCCTCGCCTACGCCATTTCGTTATTTGCTTCTCGCTTTGTCAAATCTTACAGGCAATCCTAAATCCCTGTTTCTATCCTTTTATCTACACGTCTATGCATGTTTGTATTTGCTGCAAGTATCTTGTTACTGGTTAGGGTTTTGGGTTTTGGGAATTTTCGACGGGGACATTCTCATTTGCTGTTCGTTTTTCTTGGTTGAATTCATTTCTAATACAATACTCTCAACTTGAGTTCGTTGATTATTGTGGTTCCCTTCGTAGTTATTATTACTTTGTTTTTTTTTTTTTTTATAGAAGAAGTGCTATTGAAAAAAAGAGGAGAGGAAATACAGAAACAGAGGATAAAATATCCTCCCAAAAAGCCTCCTAAAACTAGAAGCTTAAACCAGAAAAAAGACCAAAAATAAATAATCAATATAATATATTTCTCAAATTTCTATGTAACAAAGAAAGGGGAACATCTGCCCGATATTAGGCCATAGAGATGCCAAAAAACCATCCTTTCTCACAAAAATTGAAAAAGGAAGAACCAGTACTCGAAAATCCTGCATTTCCATACAATGACAGCACCCACAAACTTGCAAAATGCTCCTCTTTAAAGGGTTTTTAACATCCTTTCTCAACCCCTTCACTACACATACGGACTCATAGAACACTCCAGCAAAGAGGCAGTAATCTGCGCCGACCAAAAAGTATCAAACAGACTAATCAACAACTTCCAAGTCATGTCGGGATGAAGGAAGAGGTGATCTTGAGTCTCTCATTTCCAAGGAAAACATAACACGAATATTGATTGAGAGAGGACAAATAGGCCTGCAAAGTGTTAAGCCTGTTGAGAATAGCAATACTAGCTTAGTTACTAATTAATTTAGTTGAATAATTTCCTTTAGTGGAAAGGTAATCATCATGCATATTGTCATTTTTAATAATTTAATGTTTTCTCCGGTTTTGAGAACTTTTTTTCCCTGTTATGCTTTTTTGGTTTATTTTACATAATACGACATAAGTGACCACTGTTCACCTAGGGTGTAGAAGGCAATGTTTCCAGATCAATGTTAGGCAACATTTTGTCTTTCAATTGGGTATTTTTGTTTGAGTGGTTGTTGAGGCTATTTTTAGGTGAGTGATTTTACTTGAGAATTTGCTGCTGTAATTTGTGTTTCTCCTACTCAGTTGTATTTGTGGGGCTTAAATGTTGTGACATTTTCGGGCACCTGTCCCTTTGCACAGTCAAATACAATAAAGAAGATGAAATTATCCATGCTACAATCAACATTTAGTTTAATTTAACTAGAGTTCTGAGCAAGGTGCTTAATCTGGGACTACATTGTTTTATTTACCCATATACTACATGGGCAAGTACTTCATGCCATATGCATTATAAATTTTATTTTTCTATAAGTATTTTATTTTTTTAACTGTCATGATTAACTTTGCTTCACTTAGTATTCATGATTTGATGTGGTAGAGTTGTAAATGTTTTCTGCAGTTATAATCACTGACTAGATTTTATATAATTTGCAGGACAGGAAGGCACTCCGTCCTACTGAACGTTTGATTGGATTTGCTATTCTACATCAGTGTTATTCCTCTCAAAAACCTTCTGCAAATCCATTTATATCATTTATAGTAAATGTTAGAACTGCTATTATTTTTCTAAAAGTGCTTATCCATAGCTCATTGGAGTTTATATTTTTCTGTATACGGACAGATTTGCTTTTAAAAATTTGGACATAATTAGAAGCATCTTTGATTGATGCTTGTGTGGGATAAAAAATGCTGGTGTGTTTGCCTGAGGGGATTATATGAAACTCTTGTGCTTATGAATCATCAACTTCCTTTCTGGAAAGCCCTCGGATAAAGCAGTATAGTTGTTTGTTAAAAAAGATAGATGTGTATTCCTTCTTATGGGAATGCCTGGACCTGATACTGTATGTAAAGAGCAAGCTTTTTACACAATCCTACAATCCAATTATCTTTCGTGATAATTTTGCTTCCTATAAGTATGTACATTATTGAGCAGTTTCATTGTATTAATGTGAAACGTATAACTTTTTTTCAAATCTCCATTAGGACTTTACTTGCTGCAATTAGTCTAACAGTTCTTTTAATACTCTATCTGTCTTATAAAAAAATTACCATATTCTGAGTTCTGGTAGTGATGTATATACATCTCTTTATATCATAGTGTATCTTGCACTCTATGATAAAGTTGATATGACCATTTATTTATTTATTTATTTTTAGTTTTTTCCTTTTCCCCAAAAGTTTATGCCTATTTTTTGTGCAATCATTGGAATTTTTAGGTTGCATCTGATGAGCAATCTGAGAAATACGAGAGAGCATTTATACTCCAGTTTTTAGGCTCTAGTGGTGCCAACAGTAACAAAGAGGTAGGCCTATGATTTGAAATTTTCTTGTATAATTATTTGATACTCCTGTATCAGAGTTCCAATTTTTGTGTGTCAAATGTGCTTAATTTCTAAAAAAATATAAGATGTGATGTTTAGCTGTATTGGCCAAGAAAGAGTCCTAGCAATGGAGGTCTTTTTACACCATGTTTCTCCATTGCAAACGGTACCTACATTGATTTGAATTTATGGAGTAACAAACAATAATTCGTTTTAATTGTTTCCTGACCAAAAATATAGTCTTTGATCTTACTTATTGGAATGTGGATGACATTTGTAGTTTGTACTAGATAGTTTGCTTTAATGTAATGTTCGATTGTTTTTTCATCCAAAAGTAGAATTAGAATGACATTATGTTATGTAGCCATGTGAAAATTGTTTCCCATGCTTAATATTGAATACTGAATATTGTTTGTTCGTTTTTGCATCTGGTCTCTTCAATCATTCTGGCAATTTGACCAATTGTTTTGTTAAATATTATGTTTCATGGTTATATTTCCTAATGAGGAGCTTTTTGTTGCAGCTTCTTAAAACTACTGCTGTAGATTATATCAAAAGTTTTGACCCTTCATCTCATGTAAGTGACGTTGCATATATGTATACAGGATCATGTTATAATTAGATAATTAATGGACAAACATGATGTCTTATTGTGAAAGTTTTTCTGAAACTCATATGGGGGTGTGGCATGATAAATTTGCTGAATAACAAAATTTTGTTTCTTTTCCCTTTATATTCCAGGTTAATTCTTGTTTGGTTAATCTTTGGTTGCATATTCTTAGGCTTTCCCACAACGAGAACAGTTACAGCAACAGTACTTTGATAAAGTCAATAAAGAACCATATAGTTGCTTATTTGAAGATGTATCTGTCAAAAATGTACTGGCAGATCCTGATGTGCCCCATGGCTGTGACTCAAATTCAGCAGAGTAAGTAGCTTGGCAGGAAATGAAATGTTTGTCTTGGATAATAATTGTTATTTACATTTAAGTTTGATAACTTCAGTTCAAAGTATATCATTTTGTTTCCTATGTAACTCTCTTTATAATGTGTAACTCATAGGTTTGATTTGGAACCTGGAGCCAAACCTAAACTTGGATCTGGTGATAGAGATGAGACTTTAAGTCAATCATTGGCAAATTTATCATTGAATGGGTTAGGTCCTCAATGGATCCGTCCTTTTCCACCTAGGTATCCAGTGCGTGATAGTGAGGTAAGAGTTTGTGGAGAGAATTATCTTATTTTTAGTTTGATAATGTAGTCTCTTATTTTATGTGGGTTAAACATGTTTCAGCTAGTGTGGCTCAACCCTGATAACAATCACGAGCTCGTATGGGATCATGGTATGTGTGCCGATACTAGTAGAGGAGCGGCAGTCAGGGACTTGATTGCAAAAGCTCTGAAGGGGGCACTTGCACCTGCACAACAGGAGGTTCGTAAATTCTTTTCCAATAATATCTCTATTTGAGTAACTGGTATCACATTAATCATACAGATTCGCTTATGTGTACATTGAAGATGCTCTTTTGATCAAATAAAATTTGCCCCTGTACATTCATTAAGAAAATTTGGAAAACGAGGTTCTTTTGTACCCTAACCTTGTTACCTAGGATATTAATTTTTTTCTTTGTTTTCTGTAAAAATAAAAACTCCTATGCTAATAGAGATCAATATCTTAGTGTTTGTTAGTTTAAAATTTATTATGTATATTATTTCTTTTAAGAAAAATCTAAATTAAAAATTATCTTTTCAAACTGTGCGTATATATATATATATATATATTAGTTGAGTTGACTTTTGCAAAGCATGCATTTTCGAGAAGATGCTCATGCATAGGATATGAGGTAGAAAGTAAATTATAAAATGTGTGTTTATTTCGGAAAAAAAATTATAAAATGTGCGTCATTAGTAACATTTAAAGTGTCAGCTGATGGGGTGAGGTTGAAATAGATTTTGCATGTGGTATAATCTTAAAACTTACAAGTTTGAGTCTACATGATGATATCATTCAAGATTTCTAGGAGAAAATGAAATCTTTTAGACAAGACACATAGGGGGTGCCACCTGTGCCAAAATGGATCAGAGAAAGGAAAGAATGATTTTTAAACTATCTCAAGGTCTGGAACCAATTAGCTCTAATTTTATCAAAAGGAGAGTTAACTGTAAGAAAAAAAACTTCGTAAGTTGACTTGGGTATTGAGTATTTACTTGTAAGAATTGAATTTGTCACAATGACTAGTTGCAACAACTTCGTAGCCAGGAATTGAGTAAATGTTTTTTACATGCAGAATCATTATTATAAGTGTGGATAACATATAGATTCTTTTTTATATATGTTTTCATTTGGTTTAGTTGATTCTTGCTTGAGCTGGATGATGAAAAATTTTTAGGGGATGGATTTATAAGAATTCACCTATCCCAATAACAAAAGAACCTGACTTGAATTATCCTGTATTAAGAGCTAAATTGGCTAAAGGTATGGGTCATAATTATTATGGAGAACCCGCATGGCCCAATGGTCTTTTATATATTTTTTCAGTAGTAATTCTCGATACTACTGCCTGTAACATAGACTTAGTGGTTTAGAGCCATCAATGATTGGTGAACCCTAACTAATTTGGGCTAAGTCTCAATAAGTTTATTACGTATTTAGGAAAAAAGAACATTTCATGGCAATTAGATTCTCTTGGTTGGGGTAACCACAATGGATTAAGAATCCAATTTACCTATTTTTATCATTTAAAAAAAAACTATGATCAAAACTCAGTTTTTATCACACACCAAGAACCCCAAACAGCAATCCAATTAAGTCTACCCTGTCATATAGTGAATAGCTAAGTAACATATCTCAAATTGACTTATATAACGACCGTGATCTTGAACCCAAAGTCAAATTCTTCGTTTAGGAACACAAGTCAATAACTTTGTGCAATTTGAAAATATATAAATAATGGAACTAACTTGAGAACTAAGGCTATCAATTTCACTTCTCCTAGTTGGCAAGGGATGTCTGCTAAGCCTATCCGCCGGAAAGCCCTTAAGAACTAGGAAGCTAAACAAATTTTTTTAAAAAGAAAACCTGTATGATTCTCAAGGAAATAGGGGGGCTGCCAAGAATTTAGAAATGTGTAGGTTTACATTGGGTATGACTGATAATCTAGAAAATCTCCTTCACTGCAGGGGAGGGACTACTAAGCTGCAGATAGTTCCCAACTGGTTGTACCTAACTCTATGAACAAGGTGAAGTTCATCAAAGTGTTGACAAGTATGGAGAGTAATGTGGATCATGGAGAGGAGTGATATCAAAAAGAGGCAGTTGAATCTGCTGATGCACAGAAGAGTACAACAGGATTTGGTTTTTCTTTTTTCTTTCCAATATTCCTCCAGCATCCTTTTACCAATGGAAATCTTGGGGAGAGCATTTGAGACGATACAGTACGCATAATTGGCCAACTGCTGGGAAAATGTGAGAATGACTAAAATTTCCATGCTGTGGAACTTTAATAAGCAGCCAGGATTGAAACCAGGAACATAGGCTTGCCCACCTGAATGGTTGGGAGTAGGTTACCACTGAGCAAGAACTAAGTAGTTTGGTTCCCCATGCAGTGGAACTTGTTTTAGTACAAAGCAGTGACTTATATTCATGTTTCTATGTTTCCAGATTTCACACATCAAATCTCAATCTCATTTTTCACAAGTAAATTTGAATATAGGTTGTGGATGCCCTTTATGGTGCATGCTTACTCTTGAGTTCTTTAGGTGCCAGTCATTACGCCTTAAGCCTCATATGTCGGTTTTCATTAGCGAAAAACCCGCACGCATTGGTGTTAGAAACCTTTGAGTCTTAAAGGTGATTTTAGGTTTAAGGTCCATTCTCTTTGTAACTAGGTAAGTCTTTTGATTTTTAGATCTCTGATTAGTAGTTCTTCGTATATCCATACCCATGTGCATGGGAAGCAGCTGTTTGATGCTTGGTTATAATAATATTGGTTCCATTAGAAGAAGTATATTGATCTTAATTCTTTGTTTTTAGCTTTTGTTTGCTCATTAAGATCTGCATTGAAGAAAACTACTGGGATTATCCTTGGGTCACTGGTTTATCTTTGGACTTTGTTTTTGTAGGATAACCTCCTGCTTATGCCATGGATGCTACAGTGATTTTCTAGATAAAGAATTTAAAGAAAGTATTAGTCATATGTTTAGAAAATTATATTGATAATTTTGGTCATGCCTCAAGTTCCCAATATAAAGTAAAATCTGGCCCTTACATATATATACTAACTGTAAAATGATGAATGGCTTTCATTTAGGTTATATATCAAATGTGATAGTTCTTGGTAATTTTCAAACTTCAGGAAGGTAATGAAGGAAAGAAAGGGCTAAAATTTGGTGGGCACTGTAGT